ACCGGCAACGGGATAGAGAGAGAAGAAGGTACGCGGCGCGCGCGCGCGCCGAGCGAACGCGAACTCTCCGGTGGCCCGTGGGCTCGCTGGGTCTCCCCTCGTGCGATACTTCGGTATAAAAGCAATGCAACCTCTTTTGGATGTAACACACGAGGTCCGATCGACGCATCCCGGCGTCCACGTTCACCGAGAGAGCCAACAGAGCTGCAGGACGGAGCCAGCTCCGGTCTAGCCGTAGAGCCGCACGCGCAAAAGGATAACGACGCTTCGCCTAGAGGCCTTTCTGCCCGAGGACACGCGCGGTTATTAGTCGAATTTCGTTCGCACGCCGGTGGAATCCTGTTCAGGACGATGAGCAAGTACACTGTGACCGTTCTGTGGCTACTTCCGGTGTTCGCCGCGGCGCTGACGCTGCCCGCCGTCGAGAAGTCCGGCACCGAGAACGACCTGATGGCGACCATATACAGCGACTGCTTGAAGAAGGAGTCGATCAATTGTATTAAGTACAAGGTATTCTCCTACATGGACAAGATGCTCGCCGACAAGGAGGATATCACGCTCACCGAGGGCATCACCGTCGTCAAGACGTCGAACACCGAGGAAGGAGCGCCGAGGTCGGTTGCACTCGTCACCGGTTCACCGGTTTTATTCGAGATTATTCTGTCGTTTGTCGGCTAGATTATTTTCGGTTACCGGTTTCTGGGCGGGTGATGTTCGATCGTTGTGTGGCTTGCGTTGGGATTCATTTTGGATTGCGGGTCCGCAGGTCCATCGAGTCCAGCGACCTGGAGACGCTGCTGTTCGATAGGCTGGGGAGATTCCTGAGGACCCACTCGGTTAAGGTCGACCTGAAGGGGACCGACATTCTCGGAGCCATCGAGTCTGCTGGCCGCAGCTTCGAGGACTTCACTGATAACGCCGTGGAGAGCCGAGGGAAGAAAAGTGAGTATGCTAATGCTGCTTGATGTAGTTGGCAGTTATCTGAGTAGCTGCGTGTAAAAGCTTTACGAAGGAAATTCAGTGTTCTGGAAGTATCTATGAAGTGATCTAAGTAGCTTTCCGTTGTACACTAGAATATTCTAGCTTCTAATCGAACTCCGTATCCTACGACAGTAAGTACAGATCAGCAGTTTCGCAAACAAGTTAAACTTGAAAACCATCTCCAACCGTCTGAATCGTTCCAATGAAAACTACGAGTTCGAATGTCTACTATTAACGTACATCAATCAGAAACTACATCCCTCGAGATTTCTACAATTCAAAGTAAGCTCGAGCCTGAACAATGCGCGATCCACTATCTCGCCGATCCGCGGGATCGGGTCTAATTAGCATGACAATCGGGCGAGTCATCGCGCTCCCCCAGTTCCCAGGGGTCTCGATTGTGCTCGGCATTCAAATCGGGACGAACCCGGGGTCGCGGGGAGCGCTCCCAGCCCCGGGACACCGGTAATCAGCCAATTATACGCCGGTAATTAACGCTCGTGTCTTGTAACCGGGATTCAACCGTAGCCGGTACCGCGCGCGCGTTCCGCCGGTCGGCCGTTCTATTCAATGGCGACGATGACGCTGCTGGGGAAGCTGGTCGCGAGACGTTGACCCACTGAGGAACTGGTTCCGCTTCCCCTTGAAGCACCTCGGCTGAGGGAGAGAGAGGGCTGGAGCAAGGAACGAAGACGGACGGGCCTCTCGAGATCCCGCCGCGCGAGATTTTTGACATACTTTCCATCCCGCGCGGGGTACATCGCCGTTGACCTTCGCCTATTCCACTTCGAGAGATCGCGCCGGCTGCGAGCGACACGCTGAGAAAGGTCGGGTCGCGTCCGTTCGGCCCTCTTCGCCGACGGGAGGCTGCGTGGGAAACGTCCCCCGCGGGATGATCGCCGAGCGCGCCGCGCAATCGGTGGGAAATCGCGGCTACGGTTAGCTGATCCTGCGCGGCTGAGCGGCAAATTGGCCGTGAACGCCGGCCTCGCGACAGGGAAGCCGCGCTCGCGACTAATTGGGCTATCCTCCAGCGATCCCGGAGATTTTTATTATAGACTCGCCTCGGTCGCGTGTAACGAAGCTAGCGGAGCGTCAAACGCGACTCTGGAATTAGATGGGGACGGCTAATGACGCGTGTTGCCGCTAGTCGGGAAATTTATGAACACGAATCGTATTAGAGTGTGTTTCATGTTCGATCGCTTATACTTAGGTCTTATTGAACGTCACACGGGATTATAAGGGTGGAATCGACCTAACGATGATTGAAATTACAGAGAAAGCCCAGAAGATCCTCGGACCTCTGTTGATGGCCTTGGCGCTGAAGGCTGCAGCCCTGTTGCCCTTGGCTCTCGGCGCGATCGCCGCCATCGCCGGCAAAGCCCTGCTGGTCGGCAAGATCGCCCTGGTGATCTCCGCTATAATCGGCCTGAAGAAGCTGCTCAGCTCGAGCGGAAAGCACGTGACCTACGAGGTGGTCTCGCATCCTCATCACAGCAGCAGCCACGTAGTCAGCCACGATGACGGCGGTCACGGCGGCGGTTACGGCGGCGGCGGCGCCGACTATGGCGGCGGATATTCGGGTGGCAGCGGACACGGCTGGGCGAGGAGCTTGCCGCAGGACGCCCACGAGCTGGCTTATCGCGCGCATCAACCTCAACCGCAAGCATGAAGATAGAAAGATCTCGTCCTTCATTACTTTCACTTCCTCCTGCTCTTTCCTGTCTCCTTCTCCCTCCTCCCTCGTCTCCTCGCATTTCTACGTCCCGCGCTATTCTATTATTTATTGTTCCTATTGTTCTCGAATCCTACCCTCTCTCTCTGTCTCTTTCTCTTTGTCTGTCTGTCTCTCCTCTCGTTCCTCGTCATCTACATTCGTCTCTTCCCCACGAACCAGTGCCTCGTCGAGATACTCGTTCCATGTATAGCATCGCCCTATTTTTTTACCCGAGCCTTGTTTTATTTATTTACTGCGGCTAACACGACCCTAGTATTTATTTAATTGACACGGAACCGTGTGCATGTTTTTTTTTGTTACTTCGCCCAGCCCCGCCCCGCTCCCCGAGTGTTGTTCTCTTTTTTCGTAATAAAGAAACGGCGTGCGCCGCACAGGCGTCCAGTCCCGAAGGAAACAAACATGGCGACCACAGTGTGCACCCCGAGCAGCGAGCGCCCTCTAGAACCGACACCGCTCGCGTCCTACGGTCAAAACACGAGATAAAAGACGGGATCGCGATATCCACCGTGGCTCCCGGTCGATATTCACGGAAACGAGTGAAAGTAGTGTGCATTCCATTGATACCTGAACCAGATACGACTTTAACGACCGACCGCCGTAAACATGGCGGCCGCGCCGCGCCGCGCCGGTAGAAAGCATCGACTCTTTTCCGCGGACCGTGAAAAACCGACTGTAATCTCGGCGTTTCTCAACGGGACGCGTCGTAAACGTCGCGTGGGAGGGTCGGGGGACGGATGAACCGGAGAGAGAAGCTGCGACCGTCGACCCAGCTGCCGATCGTCGCTTCTTTAATGGCTCGTAAAACCGGAGGGCTGATCCTCCTAGCGAGAACGCCTTCGTTACCCGGCTGGACGCGGGATTATTACCGGAGCGGAGCGACGCGGCCGGATACAGGCGAACTTGGGGCCACCGGTGGCCTGCATACCGGCACTAATGTCGATTCGCGGCCGCTGGAACCGGGAATAATGGCGGAAGGTCCCGTCCGGGAGCGAGCGACGCGTGACGGCCGGTTATCATCAACGTGGATCGCGATGCGGAAAATCAGCCCGGTGGGCGTCGAAAATCGCGGATCCGGCGGACCGGAAACCGCGGAAACGCTGTCGATCCTCGTCGCTTTCGCCGCGTCGACCGGACGTTTCGGACGACCTGCAGATATCGGTGTTCATTCGAAATTCTTTATTATTATCTGTCGATTTCCAGTGAATAAGAATAGAGTATTCAACCGGGATTCACAATACAGTTGCATTATTATTGTAATACTCTATCGAATTGAGATAAACCGATACCGTGCGTCGAGTCTAAGGCGGCGCACGAGTTCCGGTAGTCCAACGAGTCCGCAACCTCTTTCGATCTGCGTTCGTCGGTTTTGGATTCGGTGATTCATCAGGCGATCGGCGATGGAGGCGGAGGGGAGGGGAGGGAAGAAAAAGAAATCGGTGCCGGAACAGGGCCGCTTCCCCACCGAAATTTCTGTCTTGCCTCGGTGGTTTTCTCGATGCCTCGCCGCGCCTCGGTGGAATGATATATATCCCCTCCCCGCCGTTTAATCTTTCCTCTTTCACCCTCTGGCAAGGCCTACGCGCGAAGCGTACGCGCTGCAGCGTTGGTTTCACTTGGCGCGACCCAGTTACCTAGACCGGCGTCGGCGTCGGCCAGGACGAAAACGGCAAGGATTCGGCGGCGAGGCAGGATAAGGGGAAAAGCTAACCGGGTCGGCTGATAGCGCGGATCGGCTAACGGTATGCGCGCTACGCGGAGTTTCACTTGATTCGATGGAAAAGTTGATCAACGGATGGATTCCCGCTTCGCGCGCGCGCTGAGGAATTGAACTTTTCTGGGAGTATTGTTTTGGAGTATTATTTTCATTAATTGTTATTTGAATATTCTAGTAGAATCTGGAATTAATTGTACGTGTAATTAATAATTGAAACGGAGGTAGAAAAAGTTAAACTTCTGATTTATGTGAATCGTAATGGATGGTTTCTAGCAAGGATTTTAATTGGTTAATTAGAATGAGAAGTTTGAGGTTTTTACACTGATTTATTTTCTACGTTTAGTTTGAATCTTAATTGTCTCATACTTAGTGGCAGTGAGGAGCTTATTAGCTAATGAGGATACAAAGTGTGACCCTTGTAACAGATAATTGTGCATTATGCTAATGGTGTGAGTTGATCGTGAAAGTAACGGGGAGCGGAGAAAGGTGACGAATGGAATCCGACGCGAGACAATAGAATTAATGGTCGCCGGAGACAATGGGAAGCCGATCTTGGATTATCCGCGCTGTCGCAATTCGCCTGCTGCTGGCTTCGCGTGGCAGGAATGTCTATACCACAAATACAACAACCGAAATAAATCAATTTCAACAATAACTATATTCTTTCCTCATACAAACTCAAATCACAATTCAAAATAATTCGTCAACAAAAGAAAAAGCTTCCTCTCAACATACAAACTCTCATGAAAATCGCAAATTCAAACTTAACATAATCCAATTTACAAAGTAGCATCAAACAAAATCAACCAGCAACACTCCCAAAACCCAAGCTCATCACTTTCGATCTCAACACCCTCTCGAAACCAGTGAAACCTTATCTCCAAGCCATCCTTAACAAAATAATCCCCATAGAATCACAGCAACAGATTTCCCAACTCACTTGAACACTGCCTAATCATTAAATCCTCGCAGACTAGAAGATATCCGCGAATAGATGCAAAGAAACCGATGCGAGGCGCATCCGGTCGGGATCTATCCCGCCGCTTTCGATTTCAGGCTTATCGGTAGATCCGGTGATAATGCACGCGAGGCAAAAGAGCAAAGGGGGGGTTGTCGGTCCGTCGTTCCGCGAGAAAAGGACGCGCACGTGGCCGGTGCGCCGGGCTGCTGCGTGCAGCGGCCGCTGCGCCGGTGTCTATGCAGAAACAAGCGACATTGTGATCCGGTTAGACCGGATTAGGAGCGCTGGGGAAGAGAGGAGAAAAAGAGGCTCGGCAGGGGGGTACGTTCCGAGAGTAGCGAAACGATTCGTCGGAATCAGTGGTTTTATCGTCGCCGGCAGCTGGTGGGGTTGCCGCGTCGAAGGAGGGACGAATTCCGCGCGGCTGATCCGTAGGAACTATGCTCTCTATTTCTGCCCGTCCGGGTGGTTGCGGGACGGAATCCGCTCTCGGTTGATCCTTGGCAATGAAAATGCTCCCACAATGGTTGTGGTACGTGCGACGGGCAACGGTGGGTGGGGATGAATATCGCCAGCCACGGAGGTACACCTGACCAGATATATAGAGCTAGGGCAGGGCTTCCGCTACGGACAGTCCAGTTACAGTGCCTCTCTGTACGCACGGATCTCGCGGCGCGGGCCTAAACGAGTCGCGGTGGTTGAATCGCGAAAGGAGAGAGAGAGAGAGAAAGAGAGACGCACAGTCAATCTATTGTCTCTTCGATCCGGGTCCATCAACGAGGCTCACGATCGATCGGTGGGTATGCACCTGCGAACCATGCGTTAGATTTCGTGTATCGGGATCGCCGAGGTTTCTCATCGGTAATGATTGGGGACAGGATTGCAGGTAGATTCTAATGTGAGGATAGTTTGTGTAATGTAACAGGTCTGGTGTTTTAGACTTGCTGCAAATTGTTTCGGTAGATTGGAGAAATTGAGTATTGCTTTGATTTTTTAGCATTGATGATGTAGAGGTAGTGCAAGGGAAGAAAATTTTCTAGGAATTTTTATTGTCGCGCATGTAATTGAGCATTGATCGCTTTGATTGAGGTAATTTAGTATTGCTTTGATTTTGCAGCGTTTGGATGATGTAGAGGTAGTGCAAGGGAAGAAGATTTTCTAGGAATTTTTATTTGTCGCGCATGTAATTGAGCATTGATCGCTTTGATTGTGATATCGTTTGGATGATGTAGATATTCGAGTCGTGCAAGGGGATCGAAGATTTTCTAGGAATTCATCGCACTGAAGAATCTAGTCTTTCCGTCGATCAGATCTCGGTACGAATAAATCTAAATTCCTAATCGCCATAATCGATCAGCTCCGCACGAGCAACGATTCACCGGCCACAAAGCGGCGAGACCCTTATCACCGATTCCACGAGCGTGATCGCGCGGCAGACGGCCGGCCCGCGTTTTATCGAACTAATGATCGACCCACGTCCGCAGATCCCAGAGATCATTCACGATGAGACCCACCGGCCACCGTTACGTGTACCTGGCCGTGCTGCTGGCGACGGCCTCGGCAAGGTCGGCCGAGACCAACCCGACGACGAACTCCATTGACGAGGAGGCCGCAAGGTCGGCCGGGAACGGCAACGTCTTCGGCGACCTGCGTCAGATCTACCAGGTCTACAAGGAGTGCGCGGACGAGGAGCTGAGCCCCTGCCTGAAAGTGAGACTCCTGTCCGCGGTGGACAGGATGTACAGGAGCGTCGAGCTGAACGTGGCCGACGGTGTCACGTTCGTCCGCGACGAGCCGGTCGCGCGCGACGACGAGCCGGCGCGGTCGATCGAGGAGATCGAGGTGAACCTGCCGAGGGCGCTGGACGACAAGGAGGACGCGCTGAACACGATGATCTTCGACAAGGTCGTGAAGTTCTTCCAGAGTCACACGCTGAAGCTGAAGCTGCCGAACGTGGAGGAGCTGCAGCGCAGCCTCGTCGAGGAAGGTGAGAATCTTAATCGCTCGGGTTAGCTAGCGTGACAGAGAGCAGGGAATCAAGCAGAAGTCGTACGGATTCAATTTCTCGGTTCAGTAGACCGTACGGTCCGCTACTGTCCGCTGGAATTCGCGGGGTCGTTGTTTCGTTCTTACGACTGGCCGGTCTGATTAACCGAACTGTTCCCCAGGTCGCAAGAAGAAGAAGAACATCAGCGGCCTCCTGGCGATCCCGCTGCTGATCGGCGGCACTCTGGTGCCGCTGGCGCTGGGAGCCCTCGCGCTTCTCGCCGGCAAAGCGTTGATCGTCAGCAAACTGGCGCTGGTGCTCGCGTCCATTATCGGGCTGAAGAAGCTGGTGTCCGGCGGCGGCGACCACGGACACGAGGTGGTGCAGGTCGGCGGTGGCCACGGATCGAGCGGATGGGCGCGATCGAGCCACGACCTCGCCTACTCCGCCTACAAGCCGTCGTCGACCTAGGGAACAGCAAAAGGGTCCGCGCGAACGAGTCCACTTCGCAATCCCATTTAGACTTCGCTTTCACGTCGGCGCGCGCTCAACCGGCGGCCGCTTTCCTCCTCGATCGTACGCGCGGCTCGTGCACTTCGTCTCCGGACATCCTCCTCCCCTACCGTTTCCCCTCCCCGCCTTACCCTTCGACCCGAGTCATCCACCCACGCGCGTCCTCGGCCGCGTAATCGCCGCCGAGCGCGCGCGGCCGCGTCATCATTCGCTATTTATTGTTCATTCGCGGCGCTGCGAGGCAGCCATGTATATTTATAGATATTCAAATATATTAATTTTAATACCAGCCGGGTGCGATTGATTGAAACCGATCCTGCTCTCGCCGGCCGCGGCTTTTTCTCTCGAGATCGAAACCGAAGGGGCTCGGACTATAAGTTTCTTTATTTGCGATCGGAGCATCGAAGTTTCTTCTGCGATTGAAATCGAGGGAACTCGAGAGAAGTTCCATCGAAAAGGAATTAGAAACCTTTCGTCAAAGAAACTTCTATCGCGATAGAAATCGAAGCAAATGTCTTACCCCGATGGACACCGAGGTAATTCAACGTCCGCGCCGAGACCTCGAAGAAACCGTAGTTCCTTCCGGCGGCGCGATAAAGATCGAAGAATCCCGTCGACACGGTAACCGCAGAAGATCAAATTTATCCCCCAGAACGGTGAACGCGCAACGAGGAAGTAGAGCTTGCGAGTTTATCGTTCTGCCGAGAGAGTAACGCTCGGCGGAGCACGCGCGTCGCAATTAGAAAGGTCGATTAGCCGGGGGAACGATCTCCACGGGCGATCGGCATCCAGTCCCGTGTGCCCCGATGCAGGCCAGGAGAGCACTTCCGGCTTCTCCGTCCGTCGGTGTAGCCGGTCGCCCGCCGGAGAGCAGGCAAAAGAGTCTTGTTACCTACATACTGGAAACGCGGCGGGCACCTTACGCACTTGCCGTCGCCGGCGACTCTCCGCCCGGGAACTGTGTGTGCGCGCGCGCGTGTTCGAGCGCGCACCGGCCGCCGGACACACGTCTGTCCGAGAAGTAAACCAGGCCGACCAGACCCGACCAGGCCAGTCAGCATCCGCGCTGAGCCTTTTCAAGGTGCGCCTAACACTCTCTACCATCCCGGAGAAAAAGCTGAGCGTCTCTCCGTCCCTCCTCTCCCTCGCGCTCCCTTCCCGTCGCGCTGAAGTTTCTTCGGGCCCCTTCTCCCCACGCGGATCGATTCCCCCCACTTCGCTCAGCGTCGAGGTTCATCGATCCTCGAACGCACCTCGGGTCAGGTGGTCCCGTTCCGAAGATGCCGCTGCCGGCGACCGGGCCCTTCTCGACTTCCGAAAGTCGTGCCCGGGTCCTCTCGAATCCCTCACCTCCTTTTTCCACGGTCCGATCAACTTGCTCGACAGATACTCTTCGCCAGCGATTCGTGGATGAGCCCTTTTGTCAGGCTTCGTATGGATTTTACTGAGGTTAGAGAAGTAGGAATGGATGTTTATGGTGAATGGAGAATTCTTGTGAATGGTCATTGGGCATTTAGCTTTGAGGATAACGGGGAATGAGATTTTGAGGTGCTAATTGGATGTGGGGGATTGATGTGTTTCTTAGCATCGATTTTGTACTGTTTGATTAGTAGACTCGGAATAGGGTGATTGAAACAGTTCGTCGATGTTTTCGTTGAATTTAGCTTCGAGGAAGTCGATAGTTGCATAAAGATACATTTTATGGTCGAATGAAATGGTAAGACCTCGGCGAATTCACTTGCACGTCCACGGAACCATTACTTTCCCGACAATGAGATTAATATTAGTGATCGTCGATCGTCGATCGCGCTTCGCGAATATTCCGGGACGCGTCGCATTTTATCCGTGCATGCAGGCTTTCCTCTCGCACGTTCGCTTCTGCGGCCGGTCGCTGCGAAGATAAGCTTGCTAATTAGTCGCGGATTTGGTCAATGATTCGGCCAGGATCGATCGAAAGTAGGCCAGAAGCGATGTCAAGTGGGACGGTCCGGGCTTAGTGGTAATTATCGTTCCGATGGAAACACGGCCGATGCGCCCGCTTTCTTTCCGTAGATCTGTGGGAAATTCGTGACGCCCGTATATTCACTCGCGACATCGATACGCTTGCTTCCATTGACAGGCGAATTTTTCATTCACTACGTTTTCCTCTTTTTTAGACATCGATCATGTCGATACACTTTCCTTCGAAAACTAAAATAGGCGTCACAATACATTTTCCCATAAATATTCCCAAACTGCGAATACTCATTCGTCTACAACGAATTTTAATACTTAAACGGAATTCAATGATCTAACAATTCAAGGAAATTCCAGTGTAAATTCAAATGTCTCAATACTTTCTCGTGCAATTTTCCTGGTACGGTTTGAAAAATATCTTTCCTATGTTTGATACGTAGATGTCACTAGTTTATTCTCTATATTAAAAAGATAGCGTAAGAATTGTTTAAGTTTCGATTCTCGCTGATCAGTGTTTTCGAATTTGAATCAGTCAGGTTTTCGGGGCGCTGAATGCGAGATAGGACAGTTGCGAAACGAAACGAAGAAAAAGAAAGAATCATTCATTCATACCGTGAACGTATATGGAAAGTTGCGTGGTTCCGTCTCTTTCTTCGATCGGTCGACGCTGCTCGGAGTCTACAGAGCAGAGAGAACGAGAAAAGGAGCCGGATAATTGGAAGCGCGCGAAGCGTGCTTGTGAATTGCGTATCCGCTTAGTAATGTACTAGATCTTTCCTGTTTCGGAGCAGTTCCGCAGGAAGAACAGTAATAACAATTAGACTGCGGTTGCTCGTGAGTTTATAACTTATTTTATTCGCACAAAATATAATAGAATCGATGTAACAACGGAATAGAACATTCGTACAGTGAAATTTTTACGTTACAAGGTAGATCGCCGTTTAATACGAGGCACGCGGGATTCGTTTTTAAACAATTAGCATCGCACGAAAACACGGAGTCTAATAATCGAGGAAGACTGACGCGCGTGCACCTGTTCGTTCGCAAATCTCGGGAGACCCACTTCCGACCACTTTCTTTCGCAACCTGCGAGGTCTATAAACTTGCTTACCAAAAAAAGATTAACTCACGAAGACCTCGATTGGTCGACTTTGGCTATATTTTGTAAGCGGCGACACGAGTAAAATGTTACGTCGCGTCGTTTGATCATTTCTAAAATAGCAATTCGAGCCACGTGCATTTCCTCCTTTCCATTCGTTATTAATATACTTCTGAATATTCCATTACTTTACAGTGACACTTATAAACTAAACGAAAAGAAACATTTCAAAACCGAAACAGAAATCTATGATATAATGAACACAGCTACAAGAGTCTACCAAAAGTTCCTCCATCTAATTTATTTTATCAGAAACAGCCTACCTTCAGTTTATCAAAACTTACTTTCAATTCACCGTTAGCTCGGACTCGACCGAAATGCAGTTTCGATCGTTCGCGTTAAACAATGTTAAAACATGAGAATTTTAGAGAAGTCTCGGAACCGCATGCACTAAGAGGAGATTCGAAGTAGAAGAACGGTGGGAAGAAGAGAGAACACCTCGGGAGCCGGTGGCTTCGCTTCGTGGGGGCCTTGACCTGACCTCGATCCTCGGGCGAGTTCACTCTCGCCGGCGTCGTCGAGAGGAAAGTGTTCCATTACCAGCCGCGGCGCAGCCTCGCGCCCGCCTCGCTCCGCCGTCGAGGGATTAGCGTTTTGGTCCACGGGAATAGCTCGTGGTGCGACGTCGGGTCGTCCGCGCTGACCGGTCGGGTCGTCACGTGTTGCACACGCGTCGCCTGTGACACAGTTCGCGCGATCGGTCGGACCGCGAGCCCACGGATCGCGCGGCGCCCGCCGAAAAGGAGCGAATCCAAAATTGACATTCGTTCGCGGACAGAGATAAAGTGAAAGTCTTCCGCGCGATGTAACGCCCGGCGATTCTCCTCGCTGCTCGTTTCTTCTCTCATTTTTTACTCCTGTTTCGCCTCTTTGTCCGCGTTGCTCTCTTTTTTTCGCGGCGCCCAGGCACTTTCGTTTCGACCGATTTTGTAGAGCTGGCTCGCGGCCGCTGGTCGCGAGCTGTTTAATAACTGATTCTGCTTATTAATTATCGTATCGGGGTAATTCGCTTAATGCACTGCCGTGTTGCTCGAGCCGGCCCGTGAAAGGTGTTCTTTAGCTACGCTGCATTTCAAGCGTTCTATCTTGATCGCTAATTTCACGCTGCTACCGGCTGCTACTTGGAGAAACTGTTAGTTTTTTTGGTTAATTAGTGTCTTGGTAAAAGGATAATGTAGATACCGTGGATAGAATTGATAGTTCGTATCCGAGAAAGAGGATAGAACGGCGGCAACGCTAGTTGCGCCGCTACAGTTCGGAGACTTCAACGCGCGGCGAGAGAGATGCGCCGGAGACTTCGACGCGTGAGAAGGACGGTGCGCCGGAGACTTCAACGCGCGGTCGGGAAGATGCGCCGGACACTAACGCGCAGTTAGAGCAGCACTGTCGATCTCACGGAATTATGTCGTCGGAATGAAAGTCGAATGCGCGTATAAATAGAAATTCGTGCTCGATTATTTTTGCCCATAAATCTCGGATAAAATGGAACTCCTCGGCTCTACCGGAAGAAATCTTTTACACGATCACGCCTGAACCGTTCACCGTTAATCTGTGTCCGCGTGAGATTCATTAATTAAGAATTCGTTTCATTAATACAATTCCCCGATGTATGAATATTCTCTCGAACAAAACGATTCGTAATGATCTACACCGAACCGTGTTATAAATAACGTAGCTGCTACAAGAATCTTAAAATATACTCTGTTCCTAGATTCAATATTCATTCAAGCAGCACGATGGAAATCTGAACCTATTTACAAATGAATTACTGCGTATACATCTATGCATTCTTAACGAAAAATTCTATTCATCCACGATAATGTTATCAACGTGTCCTCCCATTGGCGGACGAACGAAAGGACCGACTAAATCTTATTAAAATGTATATAGGCGAATATATAAATAAAACTAAACGATTCCACGCTTCGTTAATTACCCGACGCTATCGTTGAACGATCTCGAACCGCGTCCAGATAAAGCCGGGGCCGTGAATATCAAGCTTAATTACCGAATTACCCTAAAAGCAACGGCCAAATTGAGACGTAAAGGGGAACGACAACGGAAGAGCGAGAAATTCGAGGTAACCTCGTGTTACCATCTTCGACCGCGGGGAGAAAGTCGCGGCCGGCCCGGCCCGGCCCGGCGAGCGGATCGTTCGTCCACGATCGGAAACACTGGTCGTTCCTCGTCCTGCCCTCTCGTCATCGATTCCTCTTCTTCTCGTTCGTCCTCCTCTTCGTCCTCCTCTTCCCATCGTCCCTTCCTTCTCCGGCGTTTTTCTAGGCGAGACGTCTTCGGGGTCACGCCGAGGCGCGGCCAGTTCCACCTGGACGGGGCCTGGCGCGGACCCAACTCGTCCGCGTGGACATTCCATGAAAAACCGTTAAACGCGTTCCCCGCGCTACTCGCCCGCCGCGCGAATATATTAATTTCGAAGATGGCCGCGGAGGACCGCCGAATGAATGGGACCCTCGAGAATGACCAGACGAGGAAAAGAAACGTGCGCGGAGGAGTGAAACGCGAAGGGGGGGAGGGGGATCGTTCGGGAATGCGGCTTAACTGCGAATTACAGTTACCGAGAAAAGTCCTCGGGACCGTTCCGAACGATCCGACGACTTTTTCTAGCTTGACGGTGGCGATAAACGTTGAAGTTTCGGGACGGGTCCGTCGGAATCTCGAGTATGTGTGCCGTGGAAACTCCTCGCGCGCGCGCGCGCGAAATCTTGTTGGATAGGAGGCTGGCCGCGGCGAGGAAAGTCGCGGAGGCGTGAGATTCAAGCAGCTTCTACGCGATGTATTATACGGCTTGCTGAAAGCGAAACCGCTGCGGATATAGTTGATATCATCGACGAGACTTTTCACTGAACCGTGCATTTTCCTACGGAGGCTGATTAAATTACGCGTGAAACCATGGGAGCGTTTCGCAGGGAAAGTTCCAGATGTAATGGATAGATTTGCGGGTGTAGACGTGATTGTCTATTAGGTTGTTCTGTGGTTGCTGCGATCGTGCTGGTTAAATGAGGGATTCTAATTGTTGTTTAGATGTTGGAGCAGCGAATGGTACTGTCGATGAAGTTGTAGAGGAATGATAGATTCGTTGACAGCTACGATGATGAGAGATAAATGCTATTCGTATATTAGCGATTCAAACTTTCGCAGTTCATTGCTGTCAGACGCAATAAACATTGAATCGCTTTATGCAAAGTCAAGGAAGAAATTACTGCCTCGAGAAGCAATTTCCCTTGCGAAGGATTAGCAACGCTGTCGACTCCATCTCGACAGGCTCAGTTTCAATGTCAACAGTCCTGGATGAATATAATTGACCCTGAATATACGATCCTTAAAATATTCTCCACGTGTCTCGGGACGAAACGAGACACCTCATTTCTGCAGCTCTCTTTCTATATTAGCCATCTATAGACTACTAAAGCCTAGCCTTCTTGACCCGGTCTACAATCAAATACCCCTCGGTCCCCCCGAAACCCAATTAACATCAAAACCATTATCATCGCAACCCTCTCACCTTAGCATTAACCCAACAGTCTCCAAGAAACACCTCCAAACGATCCAAAAATTCAATCAGAAACCTCACAAAGACACAATGGTGACCAACCTAAAATCAAACGCATAGAATACCCAAAATCTTCCCACAGAGGCGATGCTCAGTCCTATTGCGCTGTCACAGGAACTCAAAACTTCAGTCAGAAACCTCAAAAAGCCAAAATGGAGGCCAACCTAAAATCAAGCGCATAGAACACCCAAAATCTTCCTATAGAGACGACACTCAACCCTGTCGCGCTCTCAGAGGAACTCAAAACTTCAGTCAGAAACCTTCAAACATGGCAATAAAGACCAACCCAAAACCAAGCGTATAAAATACTCAAAATCTTCCCAAGAAGACGATGCTCAGTCTACTGTGGTCTCACAGGAGCTCAAAACTCCAGTCAGAAACCTCCAACCGTGACAATAAAGAGCAACCGAAAACCAAGCGCATAGAAAACAGAGAATCCTCGGAAAAATGCGACGCTCAGTGCAGTCCGCTCTTACCGGAAGCGGCTGCAGCGGTGAATCGTCGTTCCAGCGGTGCCGGGTCCAGCCGGAGGCGGCTTTGACCCGCGCCGGCGCGTCTCAGCCGGTCCCGTCGAGCAGACGGCCGAATCTCCGCGGCTGGAAAAGGGCAGCGACGCGTGGGCAAGCATCTTCCACCGATTTCCACTCTCCCTCCGATCCGGCCGTCCCCCCGCGGCCCGGTCCTCTCTCTCCGCCGGTGGCGGCCCTGCGAGTGTGCGTGCGCCTCGGACACGCGGCAAGGCAAGGGTCTGGTCCCGAGGCTGGCCCGGCGAAGAGAGCGAGAGCGCGCCCGCGGAGAGGAGAGAAGCGAGAGAGACCCCCGGTGGAACGACGCGCGCGGAGCGAGCGTCAACAAGAGAGACGTGCGCGGACGACCGCCCCGGTGGAGAACCAATAGCTCGTACGGGTCGTAACGAAGCGGCCGCCGGGAGGGGGTCCGAGGGGGGCCCGCTCTGGCCACTGGTGGGGGCCATCAAAATTTCAAAAACGTACGCGGGCCCCTTTCGCGACGAGGATAAAAGGCAGCAATCGTGATTCTTTCGGTCAGTGTCGATACGATCGCCGCAGTTGTTCCGCAGTTGACCCGTGCGAGCATTCCGTACGAGTACAATTTTCGTTGTTGGGAGTGTCCAGGAAAGGGAGGCAGGAAGAGAAGAGATATACACACATTAACCCGGAAGAAAGCGGCCGAGTTTTCCCTCGTTACATTCGGTTACCATTTCTCGCTACCTTGGTGCACGACGGAGACATGTTCAAGTACGTGGTAATCGTTGCGGCCCTCGCCGCGTTTGCACGCGCCGCGCCAGCCAGCCAGGAGTCGGCCGGGCAGCCGTCGATTCTCGAGGAGGCCCTCGACGTGTACGCCTCGTGTTCCGGCGAGGCGGACCTCTCCGTGTGCCTGAAACTGAAGGCGCTCAGCTTCGTCGACAGGGCGGCCAGGTCCGCGGACATCGACGTCGTCGACGGGTTCAAGATCGTGCAGACCGAGGAGGCGAAGAACAGGTAAGGGGGAAAGTGATTTTCTACTAGATTTTCCATGGCGACAGTGGATACACCGTGAAAGCTCGCTCGTATGAATGAACGGGGAACGCGGGGTGACTTACGACCGGCGTTTTACTTTCCAGCCGCGCGGACAACGCCAGATCCTTGAACGACATCGAAAGTAGCCTGCCAACGGAGATCGAGGCGAGGGAAGCTGCCATCAATGACGCCCTCCTCGACAGGACCGCTAAATTCCTCTCCACTCACACCGTGGAGCTCAGCATTCCTGAGGAAGTCTCTCGGTCCTTCGATGAAGGTACGTTCTTGTGTCTTAACCCTTTCGAGAGGTAACTCAACACTTGATTTCATACAAAACTATAAAATTTGATATTTAATATTATATTTCCTATAATGCATCAATTTGAGAAATATTGAAATAAAATAGCTTAAAATTCGGATGTGTGGAGAATCTAATAATTAGGGTAGTTTCTTTGAGATGCATTATATTTGATATAACTCCAATATTGGAGCCTACAGAGTTCAACGGGTTAACCCTTTGCACTCGAGAGAGATAAAATTTGATATTAATATTATATTTCCTATAATGCATCATTTTCAGAAATATTCAAATAAAATAGCTTTGTTCCTCGATATACGTGTGATTTCGAGTTAATTTTACATCGTCTTTATCTCATCATCAAACGTTAAAATATTTCTAGTGAAAAACTGCCGAGTGTAAAGGGTTACTTGATCAATCCAGTCAATCTACATTTCACCAAGAAAATAGATATACTGAACGTATAAAATAACTTTAATATTATCACACATAAACCCGTAACATCACTAGCTATCAATCAGAGTAACCTCCAAACAAGGAATAAAGAGAATCCAAAAACTCGATTCATATAGCGCCGATCGAGGTTCACTGAAAAAATCGGCACTTTCCCTTGCAGCTCGCGGCAAGAAGAAGAAGATCGTGAAGTCCCTGCTGCCGATCCTGCTGCTCCTGAAACTGAAGGCGGCCGCGTTGATCCCGATCGCTCTGGGCGCGCTGGCGCTCCTCGCGCTGAAGGCCCTCGCGATCGGCAAGATCGCGTTGATCATCAGCGCGATCATCGGTCTGCAGAAGCTGTTCGCGAACAAACACCAAAGCTACGAGGTGGTGGCCCACCCCGTCCACTCGTACGGACACGAGGAGCACCACGACCACCACGGCTGGGCAAGATCGGCTGGCTCCGATCTCGCGTACAAAGCGTACAAGCCTGCCGAATAGATCGGCGGGCTCGCCGGATCACCGCGGAACGTTCACGTTCGCTACCCACGCTCGCCAAAGTGGTCGTTCGATCGCGTGACGGGGGCACGCACGGGCCACGACGGGGTCGTCGCGCCGCGCGCAACCGCGACCGATCAAACCACGGGACCTGTTTAGTTGTTTAAGACGGACCGATTTAATGAATTACGTGACCAAGTGACCCGAACGTGACGAACTGCGACGATCAACGACACTGACCGCGGACGCTAGACTCAGTACGGACTTCTCTTGCTACGTTTATCAAGCGGTTCTCACGGTGATCGAGACGGGACAGAGCTTCGTTAGGGACAGTGAATGGTGGTAGCCGCGCAGCCCCTACCCCGATCAACCCCCAGTGCGGTATACCTTCAGGGGTCGACGCTTCGGTGGCCTCGACGAGGCCGCGATCGGACCCGTAGTCAGTACCTGCACGAGGTCCACCAGAATTAATTCCAATGATTATTTATATATCGCCCTTCAACCCTCACTCACACCCCTGCCGACGGGGTTGCCATGTAACTTAATTATATTATTTATAAATAAATCTTAATTTTATACGAACCTGCGATGCTGTTTCCTTTGTAGAGTTTTCTTTGGTTTTGTATAGTTCTATGTATTTTTATATAGTTTTGTAAACTATAAACTATATAACACTATATAAAACTATGTGAGAAGGTGTAATGGTGACTGGCTTGCTAGATACAATTCGTACGATAGAAATGTTGAATATGAATACGTAGAGCAATAGTTTATCTAGAGTTCTAATTATCCTAGACAAAATGAGAATCCTATTTAACACTAGAACTACCCAGCATTTAATACGATTAATATGTGATCCCTTTAAAAATTGTAATAATTGATTATTATCAATTTCCTCAGACACTCATTATAGTATTCAAGTGAAACTACTTTCAAGATCATTTCGAATATTCAATGCTTTTAATATATCAATAACTCTAGTGTTAAAGAATAAACTAGATTCTATAGTAGTTCTAGTGTTAAAGAATAAGCTAGATTCTACAGTACTTATTCTCCAGTGTTAAAGAATAAACTAGATTCTATAGTAGTTCTATTGTTAAAGAATAAAATAGATTCTATAGTAGTTCTAGTGTTAAAGAATAAACTAGATTCTATAGTAGTCCTAGTATTAAAAAATAAACTAGATGCTAGAGAGAACGAGGTTTAAGAGAAACAAGATATCTTCGATTAAAGATAGCTCTAATTAAGCATTTTAGCACCGAAAGCCTATGTTTGAGAAGTGGAGCTAGTTCGTTCGAACTACGAAGCGTTTGCTCACAATCTGTCTAAAGTCAGCTACTTCTAGGATGTGTGAATTGACCATAATCGAGTTAACGTCGGTCGAGTTAACATTTATCCGCGTCTTTGTTGACTGTCGCATGCTGGGTAACTGTCCTGCGTCGTCTTCCTCGTTCGCCGAGATTCTTTTTCTGTCGTGTCCGGCGGTCGGAGTTTCTCCTCGTCGCTTTTGGGACGTTCTCGGACGTCTTGACGGAGTAACTAGTCCCGGAATACCGGGACCTAGATGATGGATCGCTCCCATTCAGGTGCATCCGGCGTGTCCAGGACCCGTGCACACGAAATGCCCGTGTACTTTCGCTGGTGAACACGCCGAGTGAAACCGATTGTTCCGTCGTGTGTGAACGCCCCCTTGACGCCTATATATACCCCGCTGATCCTGGATGCTAGATGAACAGTATTGTTTCGGAACTCGGCTGCTATTCTTTCATCGCGATCGCGTGACTCGGCTGGCTCGATGCTCGGCCGTGCGGTTTCTTATTCGAGTGTCGTGGATCATGGGGAAAACGGAAAGTTCTAGGTAAGGGTGCAGGAGTTCCGGGTGAATCAATGGTTGCGAGTGGGAAAAATGAGGATAAGTTAATTCTGTGTAGATGTTCTGAGTATTTCGATGTTCATGTAGTTAAGAATGATTGATATTGACTAAGGCGAAGATTGTGAAATTTAGAAAATCACAGGTGAAGTTAAAGGATATAGTTGCTTAATTAATAGAAAAAACTATGTGAGTTGCTCGAGTAATTAAATTTGCGTCTTCTAAACATGAATATTTCATCGAAGGGTTGAAATATATCTAATGTTTCAATATTCAAATTATTTCTGTAGATTTACTGGAGAATTGTTTGCAGTGGAAGAAGGTTTCATTATGGAAATATATATTAACCCTTCGCACTCGAAAGTTTTTCACTTGTAATATTCTATATTTTTCAATTAGATGTAGACAAGATTCTTTAAACTGAACTTAACAAGAAATCATACATAAATTAGTGAACAAAGCTATTTTCTTTCTATATTTCACGTATTGATGCAGCATACAATGGTTAATGGTAAATTCCAAGGTTTATAATTTTTCTGTATCAAATTATCTGGCGACTGGGAGTCTCGAGTGCAAAGGGTTAAATTTAGAGATCGTAAATATTTAAGTGACTTTTGGAGAGTAATTATATATTATTCAGCATTCAGATGATAAGAACTTAATTACAAGGTCACTTATTTCTAAAAAACACAAACTTCAAGCTACTTGAGTTCCCGATTTCCCCTCCGTTCTCCGCTATCAGTCGCTTCCTCTACATCCCCGGTACAATGGGAATTATCTGTCCGCAGAGCGTGGCGATCAGCTTAATTACGCATTCCCCTCTCATTGCGGTACTTTCATCTCGGCGCAATTTACACGGGACCTTATCAACTTTCTCCACGGTGTTCCTTGTGCTCGGTTTTCAACCGACAGGCCGCCGATCATCGCGATGAGACGCGAATTGCGGAGCTTCTGCCTGTCGATCCTCGTCTCGACGGGGATCGCGGTGATCATGGAGCCGAAAGAGGAGCCGATCCTGAACGCCGAGGATCCGTCGAGCTTCTCCGAAGCTTTCGGCACCTGTCTAGCTAGAAAAGAGTTCGGCACCTTCGAGTGCGTGAACCGCGGAGCGTTGAGCGCACTGCAATCGTTGAATCGGAACGACAATTTGGACTTCGGCGATGCGAATTTGGAGAGGGCCGACGGTTTCGGCAGGGATCTCTTGGACTGGGACTACGATCCCAAGGATTTCGGTAGCATCGTGAAAGCAGCGACCAGGTTAATGGAGCGCAGGAGCCTGAAGTGGAACCTGGACAACGTGTACCCCGGATTACAGCTGCGAGCCGGGCCGATGTTGAATGGAAACGGTCTTCTGGAGTTCGTGCTGAACGATAGGCAGCACGCGTTCGCTGATAGGCAAATTGGTGCAGGTGAGAAATGACGGGATCATTGCTGATTTTGATCAGGCCGACCCTTGCGTACCGTACGCCAATTTTGTTCAAGGACAAGTTCAGATGCGACGTTCAATTCAAGCTCTTCGAACTTTTTACGTTCAGTTTTGAAGTAGGAAAATAGAGATAGGGGATCTGCTTCACTTAGAGGAAAATGAGTAACTCAATCCTAATTGATTAATTCACGAGAGTTCGAAAGGGACGCGTTTATTGGTGTAACTAATATTTTATATAAAACTTTGCTCGATGGAAAACACATTATTGAATTTATTTTTCGTAATTTGTAACTTGAAATATCGGAAGCGAATGGAAATGAATTGACAAATTAACAGTAGCTACCTAGAAATTCTTAATTAATATTCTATATAAAACTTTGCTCGGTAGAAAGTACATTATTAAATTAATTTCCCTAAATTCAAAACAATAGAATAAACTGGACAATAAACGTCCGTAAACTTGGCGTTAATCTGACCCTGAAAACGGGGTTGCTGGCAGAGGGAGTGGCAGGCGCTCTGCCATCAGCTTGGAAACGAACCCATCGTTCAAGGTTCGCATCTTTGCTGAGGCGTTCGCCACCTGCTGCTTTCCGGGATTACCTCCAGTAGGCAGCACGGTCAAGGCCACTCGTGGTGCACCTATGAAACAGTGGCTTCAGGAATATTCTATTGTAACAGAATATTCTTTGTTCTCTGATATTATATATATTTAATCAATTAGTATCTGCTCAGATAAATAGTTGATCCAATAGAATATTATTCTTTGTTCTTTGAGATAATGCAAGTGAATAGTCATGTATAACCATGGATTAATTATGTATATTTAAGTATACGCTTCATCATTTGATTTTATTGCAGGAGAGATTTTTCAAACTAAATTCTACATTTCACCCTTTGCACTCGAGAATGTTTTTCTCGACAAACGTTCATTGTTCTCTAATGAAATATCAATGGTATTTTTGCAACCACAAGGAAATACCTTGTGTAAAAGAACTATTTCATTTTGATCCATGTGTTGATACATTATAGAAAATTTAATATTGAATCTGAAATTTTACCATTTCGTTCAAAGGGTTAACTCGTTAAAAGACTGAGGCATGAAAAGAAAATTCTTTTAATAAGGCGTAACATTACTTGCAAACTGCACTAACATATATTGCTAATCTTTCCATTCTGCATAAAGATTCTAACCATCATCGAATCATTCTTCCAGGTAGACAGATGGTGAGGCATCTGCTGGTACCGTTCCTCCTAGGGTTCAAATTCAACCTGGTCTCCCTGGTTCCCCTGCTATTCGGGTTCCTGCTGTTGCTGACGAAGAAAGCATTGATCCTAACGAAGCTAGCTCTCTTTGTCAGTGGTCTGCTAGGTTGGAACTCGATATTCACGACAGCGACGTCGTCCTATCCAACCGGAGGATGGAACGCAGGGTGGAACGAGGGGTGGAACGGTTACCACTCGTATGCTCAGGAGACTCCAACCGCAGGATACCCTCACTACGATCATCACAGTTTCCAGTATCGACCTTACAGGGGCTACCAGAACAGCGACCTGGGCGCGTACACTCAGCACGTGATCAGAGAAGTCGTGGATGTATACGATAACTCGGAGCAATCGAAGAACAAGAGAAGTGGGAAGAACTTCATCTGGGTGAAAGGAAGTTGAGGGGTTGGAGAGTATTTAATTCAACTGTGATTCACGATATCTGACTGTTGATAACGTTTTGATAATGTTCTTGATATCCAAAGGTTGTTTGCTGGAAGAACTGAATGCTATTGAGATAAAGTTTCATTGGAACGATCATTTGAATAGATGTATAATGTGACTCGATTGAAGATATATTAAGAGATTGTTTGAATATTTTCGTGTTAGCTATTGTTATAATGAATTTGGGACTAATTGCAATCTACCTTATTGCTAGTTCGTAGAACTTCATTGAAATCATTTGAATAAAACTTTTATATTCTATATTATATATTTTATATTTATATCTTTCATATTAGCTATTGTCATTGTTACAATGAATTTGAAATAAATTTCTAGCTTATTATACACTAGCTCGTACATCTTATTTACAGAAATATCCTCAATGCGATCAGTGATAGGATATTTCCATATTGTTTAGAGATCGAAGATTTATTACGGTACTTTTAACAATGGTATCATTAAGATTCCTCTGGAATAGATAGAGGTCCCAGGGAAAACTCACAATCAGTGCGCAACCACGGTTAGCTGCGCTCTTCTCTCGCCGATTGTTCCGTTTCCATTTTGTACCGATTCCCCTACCACTCTCCAATCCTCCACTCTTCGCCGAGGGAAAACGCGTACTCCGACTAATGGCCTCTATTCAATTTAAATGAAGGATTTCAACGACGGTCCTGGATTAAAAGTAAAGCGGAGGAGTGTCCGAGGCTGGTTCAATGACCAACGAGAAACAGAAGATGGACACGGATACTTTTGCCGAGGAAGGGGCACCGGAGTGTTTTAATAATCTTAAATAAACATGAGGCATATTACGTTTTTATTGTTCAATTATTGGAACAGAAAGGACATTTATCTTCTCGCGGCGAGCAGGAACTGACCTGAATTTCGATATTAATGTATGCTTTATCATTCCCCTTTGATTAATCTCGAAATTAAAACAGTTTATGAAACTACATACAGGAAACTCATTTATCTGCTGCTGGTTTCCGAACTGCTGATCTGAAACGCGGGGAATTAATCGAGGAACTAATCTTCATTTATCTAATCTGCAGAATGTAAACTCTATCTTAAGTGAACTCTGTAAAAATTCAATTTTCCAACGAATTCAAACGCCCACGTAACGAAAGCTAAATCAAAAATATTCCATCCTCGATAAATTCAAACTACAATTCACTTTACCAAAAATCGATTACAATTTCGATCAATCTCCATTTACTCTAAACTTTCAGAATTTAGTCTACGAGTAGCTACGCTGAATCAACCCCTTGCACTCGCAAGTGTTACTAGGAATATTTTAACAGTTTCCGATCAGATAATATTCTGTGAAATTAACTCGAAGAGAAATCAAGCGTCGAGGAACAAAGCTATTTCATTTCAATATTTCTCAAATTGCATCATACTTAAATGGTGAGGAATTATCTTCTAGAAATTAAGAGACAGAACTGTTTTACTTCGATGTTTTATGTGTTGATAAATTGAATAATGAAATTGAAGGGTTAATATTAACCCTTAGCACTTCAGGTTGTTTTGTAATCTATCAGAAACTGTAACTAATTTTTAAGTTAATTCCAATTAATTTAAATAAAATTCCAAAATTTGGATATGCGAAAAATCGAATAATTTTAGGGTAGTTCCAAGATTTCAAGAACCTACAGAGTTCAAAGGGTTAAACAGTACGAAGAATGGAATTCCGTGAAAGTGTCCATTGAAATTCCGCTCGGAGATTTTTATAAAGCCCGAACCAGCTCGTCACTATCGGTTTCACGTATTCCCGAGCGTAGGATCGCTCCTCTTGTCCAGGCCGTTTTCACTCCGCGAGTCCATTAGTCTCACTCCATTATCGCTGCGTCTTTTCCGGTGGCCGTCTAACTGTACCGGTCCCATCCGTGGAAGAAGGTGGAACCACGGCAACCGTAGAAAACGCGTCCGGGAAATCCTTTTGCTCGTAAATGGCAATCGCAGCAGCGAGCGGCCACGGTCCCGTGGCTCCTCGTACCACGCCACGCGCGTCCAACTCGTTACGTCAAGTGTAACAATCAAGACGAGCATATATTACCGTCGGGGACAGTCGACCATAAAAGTTCCTTGTTTTCCGCCACCGTTTCACGGCCGCTGCGCCGGCAACTCTTTCGATTTATGCGCTCGTTCGCCCTCGTACCACATGCGTGACAACGAGTTTCTTTGCTAGACGGAATTCTGTCGACTCTTTCTCTTCGGGATTTCTCGTGTAGCGTATAACGACAATGGCAATTGTTTAAAAATGAGGATTATGTTCTGTGTGGTTATTCGAGAAGCGTTCAATATTATTGAGATGAATTTGGAATTTGCTATCTACTCTTTCTCTTCGGAATTTCGCGTGTAGCGACAGTGGCAATTGTTTAAAAATGAGAATTGTATTTTGTGTGGTTATTCGAGAAGCATTCAATATTATTCTTGTGTTATGAGATAAATTTGGTATCGATTTGGAGCTTCTTTGGAATTTCTTTTGCAAGCCAATGGAAATGAATTGACAAACACTAGCTATCTAGCAATTCTTAACTAATATTCTGTATAAAACTTTGCTCGATAGAAAGTACATTATTAAATTTATTTTCCTAAATTCGCAACTAAAAACATTGGAAGCCAATGGAAATGAATTGACAAACACTAGCTATCTACAAATTCTTAACTAATATTTCGTATAAAACTTTGCTCGATGGAAAACATATTATTGAATTTATTTTTCTTAATTTGTAACTCGAAATATAGGAAGCGAATGGAAATGAATTGACAAACTAATACTAGCTATCTACAAATTCTCAAGTAATATTCTGTATGAAACTTTGCTCGATAGAAAGTACATTATTAAATTAATTTCCCTAAACTCGCAACTGAAAACATCGGAAGCGAATGGAAATGAACAGACAAACTGTTACACTTGCAGTTACCTAGAAATTCCCGCTCGCAGGAGAAACCAGAATAACATTTTCATTGTTAAAACGACCCACGCGGCTATCCAGGTTTCGTGGATAATGATATTTAACGAGTGGTTCTTTTATTTCTGTGCGTGAAGTGGGGTAATCGAGATCGCTGTCTGGTCACGGGAACGGCGAAGTCGGGAAGAACGATCAGCTGCCCTGAATTTCCAAGCCGGCCAGCGGTGGACATTTTTATTAAAAATTCGTGAGCGCGCGAATGCGCCGGCGATTCGTTGAAACTGGCTCGTCACGGTCCGCAATCTGTGTCGGATTAACAGTACCCGGGCAACATTAATTAATACTCGGCTGCAGCGATTTGTTTCGTTCGGCATCGCGAGCAGATATCTTGGGAATATCTTGCCGAAGAAAAAGAGAAGCGTTAACGAATGCGGCTGACTTTCGCTGCAAAAAGATCGCACAAACCCAGCCTTCTATTACGCAAATTGCAACGATGAAAATGCGGCATGCAACTTTGTTGGATAATAGAATCTCAGATTACGCAATTCTAGACAATTGAAATATAAATCGTCAGATACTCGAACATATCTTCTCAATCTCCGTAGGTTAATGTTCCCTATAAAAATCATCTAAATCAGAATCATTTAACACTGATGTCTTTTTTTCGCAATTATTAGAAAGCTAACAAATGTTTCTGAGAAATCATTCAAGAAATTCATTCAGCACTAAATTGAATTGCAAATCAAAGTCTGAACAGATGCCCAGTTTCTACATCAAAATTTTCAAAAGTCAATTGAACTGCTTTTTCGAAGTTGAGAAATAAACCAGTCTCCAGAAACAAGATAAATTCTAAAGCACTAGCAATCCCTAACAATCTCCATCAAACACTACAACTCTCAGTCTCAGCTGTCCATTTCAAAATACATCAGCCCGCAGTGCAACGATGTAACAACTTTCCTAATTATTCACCGCAGCGTACCGTGACCTCATCAAAAATTGAAACCATCCTGCAGCAATCTCGATCCATCAAGCTATCCCATAAGCTCGCGAGTTAAACTAATCAAGCCGATCTGGCGTTATCAGCGAGGAGCACAGACGAAAACGATGAGTTCCAGCCGCAGCCTCGCGTTCCTCGCGTCTAACTAGCTATCGATGCCCATCCGCGGGCCGAGGCACGGTGGTTTCGGCTTCGCTGGGCAATCGGGTCAGAAGGATACTTACTTACGGGGCTGTACAACAATGTTTTGGTTCAGGAGATCCCTCCTCCCTTCCTTCCCGAGGCGTTAAACAGCGCGTGGATCAGGTGTGAGCCGACGTCGCAGGTACGAGCGAGCGGCTGATGGTAGGAGAGCGAGGATCACCCTTATAAAAGAGCCGCGGCAGGACAATAGGAATTAGTCCGCGGCGTTTTTCGAGCGGTCAGCTTGCCGCCGACACGAACGGCGCCGCCGCCATCTTGATTCCAGCAGACGCGCAGGGGAACTCCGCCAGCCGACAAGATGGCCAGGAGCAGGACCGCGGATTTTGTTTTGATCGTGCAGCTGACCGCGCTGCTCGTTCTGGCCGAGGGCAGGAGCGAGTACACGAAGCTGTTCGATCGATGCGCCAGGGAGAAGAACACTTTCGACTGTTTGAAGAAGAGGGCTCTGGAGATTCTCGACTCGGCGATCCGGGACGAGACGGTGTACGTGCTGAACGATTACGTATCGATCGCCAGGGACCCCGCGTCTGCCAACAGGACCGCCGACAGGGCGTTCAAAGAAGAGAACGCGACCGAGCTGACGATCGACCAGAAGCTGGATAACAAGTTTCACGAGTACTTGGCTTCTAGGAGCGTTCAGCTCACTATTCCTGGAGATGCTTTTCAAGGTAGGTTGATTTGAGGAGTTTGGACTCTTGGAGGAGGTGATGTTGGGTGGTTTAACGCTGGAACTACTGAGCATTTAATACGATTGATATGTAATCTCTATAAAAATTGTAACAGATTATTTTCAGTTTGGATATTCATCGTAGTACTCGAGTAACTATTTATTTCCAAACTTATTTCAAATATTCAATGCTTTTAACCCTTTGCATTCGGAAGTATTTCGTTAGCAATACGAAACAAACTGCGAAACAAACAAATCGTACGTAGTTCTAGTGTTAAGATGGAAACTGTAGATTACTTCAAGAGAAATGATTGTAAAGATTTTGGGAATGTCTTGGAGGTAGAGGATATTAACCCCTTGACCTAGAGTTAGACTCGTGAAGATTTTCAACATGATTCAACAAATATATATATTAGTTCATTCGAAATCAAAGTAAATGTAATGTTTAGAATTTTCCTCTTTCCAATAAATTATTAATGACAGCAGCCGTATCGACCAGAGTCAAGAAATATATCATAACCCAAGGGGTTAATGAGTGTTTCAATGATTCTGGGAATATTCAGAGATCCTTGAAGTTTACATTTTCATGCACGAGTGAATCTAGTAGCTTAGTTAATGTAACCTCCGTCAATTTTCAGGTCGCAAGAAGAAGGACAAAGGCTACGGTGCCCTCCTTATGGGAGCCCTTGCAGTGGGAGGTAGGTCGACTAAACAGCAGTCTTCATTATATAATCGATACAGTTTTGAAATTAAAGAGAATTCTATTTTCCTGAAATTTTCCTATTAAGATGTATAATAGTTCTATGATCTGACGAAAGAAAATCATTTCCAGCAATGATGGCGCAGCTGGCTTATGGGAAGATCGCGTTCCTGGCTGGCACCGCTTTGCTCACGTCGAAAATAGCGTTGGTTCTGAGCGCGATAATCGGCTTGAAGAAGCTGGTGTCAAACCAGGGTGGCGGTGGCCACGAAGTGATCTACGCGACGGGCTCGGAACACCATGGAAGCTACGGTGGCGGGTACAGTGGTGGCGGAGGCTGGCAAAGGACTCTCGAAGCTGTCCCCCCTACCTGAGCCAACTCGTTTCGTCGAATAGAGATAACAAATTAAAAGGATTCACTTAACACTTTATTTGCCGGATCATTAATAGAGTTTTTTCAATAATTATCTTATAGAAAAACAGTTTAATAATTTTCTTTGAACAACAGTCTCAAAGAGTGATTGGATTATGCTACTCAAGACAATTCTGTTGAATCACGATTGCAATTTTTATTGGAAGATTATTTAAGGATTAGATATTGATTATTAGTGTTCGATAAGCTGCCGGCAAATAAAGTGTTAAACTTCGCGTTTATTTATTGTATATTTATTGTAAGAGATATTGATAGAGGATAGAGATATTTTTTGTTACCTGTATATTTTTCAAATAAAGTCCGAAGACTGAGAATTCTGTCGGATGCTAGTGTAACAATTGGTTTGAGGAACGTGACAACGGTGTTGTTTATTGTAGAGGTAATATATTTGTTAATTTACATAGTAGGCAGTAGGTGGTTATTTTATAAATAACTGTATGAGCTGTACCAAAGTTAACATTTATTTTCCTAGCAGATCCGTGCTCTTGTATGTGTGTTGTATAAAAATTGCGTACGACGAGTGGTAAATAAATATTGTACGAGAAACCATTGTGTTTGATCTTGCATCGTCGATGAGAATTTTATTAAGTATCTTATGTAATTAGTGGTATTGTGTACATTAGGAGATTTATGTAAATAAATTGGATATCTTAATGAGAAAGGGAACTTTCGAGGCATTTTTCAGTTACTTTGTATTACGTGAATGTAATTATATAGAATCGTTGTTAATTAGCTAAGGAAGCTTCAAATGAACACTAGAACATACACTGTTGATGTCGCAGGAAATAAGAACAACTATTATTCCATTACTTTATTTAAATATTTGTACTTTAAAAATCTAATTTTCACACGATTCTGTGAATGATTTCTGTTAATATCAATAACAATTTGACTGTCGAGCTAATTGCTATGTAAATTTCCTAAAATCGATGCAGTTTGATCTTAATAAAATTCAATTTGGGGAATAAACAACGATTCACATGAACCATACATAATTCACGTGGTAGGCAAAACGCTAGACACTACCGGTAGGCCGTTCGTCGCTTCCGGTAACCAATGTCGTTCTCCCCAAAATTATTATGATGATCGAAATCGATACTCGAGCTGTGGGTGTGCTCGTACGAGTGGTGAGGATGCTTGATTATCTCGTACGATACTTTCTCCTTGTGATCTGCGGATAAGAGTATTATTCAATTAATTATTCTATCAAATCAATTAGGAGTATTGAATTTTTAAGATAAATAAATCATCATCATGGTTGTTTCATCTATGGATTTTTCCAATTATTCAACCGAATCAATAAGGAAACATGAATTTTTAAGATAAATAAATCTGGAGGACAAAGAGAATTGAATAAAGTTTGTTCTATGGGTTTTTCGAATTATTCAACCAAATTAATAGTGAAAAATAAATTTCTGGAGATAATTGAAGTTAGAGGACGAAGAAAACTGTGAATAAAGCTTGTTCACCTATGAATTTTTCCAATTATTCAACCAAATCAATAAGGAAAAATGAATTTTTAAGATAATTGACGTTAGAGGACGAAGAGAACTGTGAATAAAGTTTGTTCACCTATGGATTTTTTCAGTGCGATCGCTGTGGCGATAGCCAGCGCCACTTTGGCAACGACCAGAGCCTTCGCTGCGATCGCAGCGACCGCGTTGAGAATTACGTAAAGCGTAGTCAGCTTCCCCGCTCCCAGGAAGTACAGCAACATCTTCCAGTATCCTCTGTTCTTCTTTCTCCGCGCGCTCACTGGAAAAATAAAACGGCCGCGATTCCGTTTATTTCCGTTGTCGAGCGTTAATATCAGCCTTTTAATTTCACCGTATAATTCACCGTCAGATTGCGAACGGATAATGATAAAGGAGGTTTCTCGTCACGCAATGAGTGAATCGCGGAGTTCCTCGCACTGAGAAACACTTTCGTGTGCGATTGTTCGAGGAGATTACGGTAAACGGACGGTTATAAACGGCGTTCATCTGTTAATTGTATAATCACCTTCTCAGGAAACGGTGTTCCACGTAGGAAGTGATTTTCCGTTTATCCGTCTGACCTAGACTTGTCAATTCTACTTAAATGATCAACCGTTTATGCATGTTATTGGTGATTGATTCTTGGTAAAGACGTCAGAGATGTAAATTAATAGAAATAGCAGAATTAATAAAGATTGATAATTATGGAACTTTTCAGTGTGTCTGACTAATACTGACTAATTCTCCTTCGAAGAATGATTGATTTATTAGACTGTTATTTTTCCTTTGGAATTAAGTGAGAATAATATAGAAACAGAATGATGGAGACTATTGCTTATTTTTTGTCTGATTAGGAACTACTGAATCTACTTGAAAACGAAATAATGAGTTTTAAGCTGTCAATATAAATTTGCGAAATTCTTTAAGTTTAGGAGTGACGTATGAATGTTAAAATAATTACACCTACATCTTATCATGTCTGACCTGAGTCGTCCCATTCTCCTTACCAACGAATTACAGGAATCCCACCTACGAAACCTGTCCTACTTTATTCTTCCAATTATACTCAAGATTAGATTAAATATACGAAGTACCAAGCCAGAGATAAAATCTTTCTCATTAATTATTCACCTAACAAGTTCACACGTCTGACCCGAATCTCCTAATTCCCCTTGAGATTAAGATTTTGGCACACACTTGTAGCTTTTCCATTTGAATTTCTATTAACCAATAAACAAAACACTCAATATTCAATATTCACAAACATTAAACTATCAACAAATTCTCCTCATTTTTCCTCCCCAACTTCAAAGCATCTCCCAACTAAAATTCTAAATCAACTGGCAAAATCTCAACCCAATTTCATTGACACTAACAATCTCCACCTATCACCACGAACTCACCCTCTCCATCCAACAATATCCTTCACAACTTAAAAACCCTATTAACCAATAAACATTCAATATTCCGTCAATATCCTCAATCCACAA